ATATATATAGATATGCTTTGAATCAATGGAAGATGGAAGTTAGGCTTAACGAGCTTTTGCTGCCTATGGTTTTCCTTTTAATGCTTACATTTTGTATCCCTAAACTTTGATTGAGTTTCAAGCTTGCTAATGTGGAGTTCGGTTCTATAGGTTGATTGAAGAATGTTGGAGCACAAATCCTATAATAAGACCAACATTTGCCGAAATAATTGTGAGATTGAATAAAATCCATTCCAGCAGTTCTAAGCAGGGCCGATGGAAAGGCACCTTTAAGCTTCCTTGGTATGTCATATCTATATTATTGTGCATGGTTACTTTTCCCACCTTTTGATCACTGCTCCCTGTTATGCAATCACTTGTTTTGCATTGTATGCTTTTGAAGATTTCAAAATGTAGCCATCTTAGTTTCGTACACTTTTACTTTGTTCATTAAATTTGCTCATCTTTATCAAGATGATCATTTTAATCACGATCTCTGTAGTAGTGAAGTGAAGCATATAGTATTTTTTGCCCTATCACAACTCTTTTCGAATTGTTTTGTATTCGGGGACCCTGAATCATTAGCCTCTTTTTCTCCACTCTGAATCATTAAAATGTTCAATCTATTCTGACAAAATCTCATTCCTTCTAAAAAAACCAATTTCTAATTTTGTTGATTTTTTTTAGTGTAAAAAAGCTTTATTGTAAAAAATTGACGGTTTAAAAAATGCTTTGGCCTTCTTCCTTCTCTTGCAAAACACACACACACAGACTTACATACAAACAGACAGACATACTTACATACATACATATATCCTCACACATGCCACGCACGCCCACGCCCACACCCAAACACACACCCGCACGCACGCACTCGCCAAGCACACACACACACACACACACACATATTATTTTTATTATATATACTTGTTATTTTTATTATAAGTTTATTTATATGATAAATAATTAAAAAAAAAAGAGTATAAACATAACTCGAGTTATTAAATGTTAATAAAATTAAGTGTATTTTTTAAATAATTAAATTATCCCCTTTCAAGAAAAAATTCCGACTCTACCACTACTCATAAGTTTAGCGTTACCTTACAAAAGTTCTCAATTGTACTAGACAATTACAAAGTTAACTTTGGGATATGGAATCTAGATTATCTTTCTAAATGAAATATTATCATTAGGCATCAACTTAATATTTATTCATGTATCTCATGGTGAGGTACTATCAACCTCGAACAATACATTTCTTCTCATCATATGATGGGGTCAATTTATACTAGTCACAAGTGATACTACTTTAGAGTACATTATTTATTCTACATAGGCCTCTCACAAGCACATAAAATGACATTTAGGTTTTGTTTGGGGCAGCTACAGCTGCACTGTCTCAGAAAACTGCTGCGGAGAAGTTGGTTGTCTGTTTGTTGCAGTTGCGTGAAAACAACTGTGGGGCAGTTGTTTTTGGAAAAAATGACAATTCTACCTCTGTTTAGTAAAGTTGTTTAAAACAGAACTGTAGCAGCCACATATTTGATACTTTAAAAACATAAATTTATTTCAAAACAGAACAAAAGTTCAGATACATAACTCACTTAATAGTGAGTACCGAAAGCACTAAAGAAAAAGAAGAAAACTAATAAAATTATAAGTAAAATAATGATGATAGTATTTTTAACATGAAGACAATGTATGTCTCGTTCTAAATGACAGGTCTACCACTGTAAGCCACAACCACCAACCCAACCTAAACAAAATCTTAAACTAATGAGTTTTTCTTGAAGGATGAAGTATTACTCAAGTATATAAACAAAGCATGGAGTTCGACCACATTCATACTTTGACATCAATATATCGATCATTCGAAAGCTCAACAGAAGAAACAAGTTAAGCTTCCAACTTTGTCAAAATTACAAGAAACTATGAACTTTGAGCTCATTATTGCGTCAAGACATAGGCATGATAATTGCCCTAATATTCTAGTTCATGGCAGCCACATTCCCACCAAATCCATGCCAATGCCAAATACAAACCAGGAGATCAGCTACACAACAACAACTTCAAAACATCTAACGAGTATAAAATAAAAAAAATTCTTACCGCTGCTGTGAGGAACTCGTTAGAAGAAGAGGAAGAGGAGAGGGAGCGTGAGCTACGTCGGGAAGAGGAGAAAGACGACCAGATATCGTCAACGGTCGGAGAAGAGGAGAGGGGAGAAGATCACGGTTTGCTCTTCTTTCGCGGGATCTACTGTCGTGGTTAGGGCTAAGTAAAAAGGGGGCACGGGGGTAAAAAACTGATCGACAAAGCTGGGCCGCAGGTAAGGGGGAGCTTTCTGCGTTCGCAGCAAACCGCGGGACGCCGCGGCGGCACCGCCTCTCCAAACGGGTTAAATTAGCGGCATGGTGTCGCGCCGCAGGTCCCCCATTGCCCCAAATGCACCCTTAAGCTCAATGAGATTGCGAAGTTCTGACCCCTTCAGGGCTTCAAGTTCTCAGCTTAGAGAGGAATCGAGAATGAGATTTAGGTTATTATAATATTATGTTTAGGGAGTAATTTGTTAGTTTTTGACTCAATATTCATGAACAAATTGTTTGTTTAGTTAGCTTTCTATTTTTTCCATATAAGCTTGTAAAATAACTATGTGATTTTTTAAATTTTGACTATATATTCATCCATTAATCACATGGTGAGATAGATATTAACTTCTTGTGTTAAAGGCTGAAATGAGTTGAGTGATATGTTATGTAGATTTGTCTTTGGTTGCTTGCTATAAGTTAATGAATGGAAGCTTAATCATATGAAAATACAAGTGAATCTCTAGTTTGAAGAAATGGAGATGGAATTGAGGAAATAGTGTTTTTTTTATTTGATGCGAACGATCTGAATGCTATAAATGTAAAAAATTAAAATTTAGATATTAGATGTAAATACATCATAGTTTTATGGGTTAAATTGAAGAAAAAGATTTACATACATACAACACAATTCTTCTATATTTACAAATCTAATACCTAAATTTTAATTTTTTATATTTAATAGCATTGTACTTGTAGCGTTTTATGTTTGTTTTTTGAAAGCTAATATTAGTGAACTTTTATTTGATATGAATGATTTGAATGCTATAAACGTAAAAAATTAAAATTTAGATACTAGATATGTAAGTACATGGGAGCTGTATGGTATGTATGCTCATGTCCTCAATCACAGTTTTCTCACAAGTGCAATTTGAGCTTTTTATTGATGACATTTGTCCTTTTCCTTTTTTTTTTTTGGTTGCAGGATTTAGCAGAGCAGACCCGCCTTGGAAGGTTTTGACGGGGCAACATCTTGTAAGAATAAGAACCCTGTCTCGCCAAAAAACAGCCTGGTGTGAGTTAAATAATAGCACATGTTTTGAAATAGAACTTGTCACATAAACTTCAGTTGTGTGATTTGCACTTTCTATATTGTTTATGCTGACCCCAAAGAAATAAGTGCCTTCTTACTGTGATATTTTGTTCTCTTTTATGATATAAAAAGATAAATTTTGGGTATTAGGTATATAAATTTGTAGGAATTGAGTGGTATGTATGTAAATGCGTCAACATAAATGGTACTCTTGACTGCGAATAATTATTCCATACGGACATCGTATGCAGTGACGCATGCGTCGTTCGATCTACACCGTTGATCAGATCAAAGTTGTATTTCGGTAGGCCCAAATTTAAAAAAAAAAAAAATGATAAGAACTCTGATCAATAATGGAGATCCGACAGCGCATGCATCTTTAGATATGGAATAATTTTTTATTAACCACAGGGTTTTATATTTTTATGATTTAGTTTTTCCTGCTTTCTTTCTTGGTTTTTACTGGATTTTTAATCTTAGAAAAAAATTATAATAGTTTAGAGTTTAGAGTAATCCTTTGAACTGTAGGCCTCCACAGGATTACCGTAGGCCGTAGTACTCTGTGAACGTCATGAGGAAGAAAACGCATGCGCATGTGCTGGCAGAAACAATAATTCTGATTGAAAATAAAGCATGAAAATAAATGTGAAATAATTTATCAGAATATATTGGTAAATAATTGGACATGTTAGGCTATTTTCGTAATTGTTTTAAGTGAAAAATGGTAATGAGCGATTTATGCTGTATTTATTTTAAAATAATTTGAAAATTTTTCTGGAACACAAATCAATATTTTGATCCACTTTTTCCCTTTTTTTTGGTCAAATAAATGACCAAAAAATGCTGCTTCCGTGGTTCATTGTTAAGAGTTGATTGTCACGGACAAAAAGTCTCATTTCAGATAGGTGAGACTGAAAATCAGTATTTAAGTCTTGGGTTGCCCATCAACGCAAAAAGCTCTTTTGAGAGGTGATAAGTGATATCAGAGCCGATTATTGTCTGCCAGGTGCATGGACTCTTCATGGTCCAGTGAGACCCTCGGTGGAGCCGATCCGTGACGAGGGCGTCACGTGATTGGGTGGAGGAGAATGTCACGGACAAAAAGTCTTACATATGCTATGTGTAGGGTCGAAAAATAGTATTTAAGTCCTGGGCTGTCTATCACCCCTAAGAGCTCTTTTGGGAGGTGACACGGTATTATGAATTAATTAATAATTCCAATGTGTAATTTTAATGTCATCTAGACCAGAATATTATGAAGAAGCGTAAGTTCATGCACACAAATTTGTATATATTTACATGTTATATAAAAAGTTTGATATTTACAATTATAATCATGTCATAATGCAGAAAAAAAGTTTGTCAATTTTTAGAAATGAGATCATAGAAAATTGATTGTCAAGCATGTGAATATGAAAAGTTGCGTTGGAAAAGATTTGTAGTGTGTACTATTTAACTTCATACTGAGTAGAAAATTATAGAGAAGCTTGCATACTTACAAGACAAATGTGTACGCATATACATATTATATAAAACCGTTGATATTTACAATTATACCATGTCATAAGCTTATTCATAAAAGTGTATTTCAATTTTTGCATACGTGACCTTACAAAAGTGATTATTATGCATGTAAATATGAAAATTGTTTAAATTCCTCTAATTATTTTCTTAAAAAAAAATTGTAGTTGTATAACATGGAAAAATGATTGGTAGATTTTATTGGTATGTAGTAAGAAAATGTAGAAAGGTATGGATGGGAAATTAAAATAATAATAATAATAATAATGATTATATTTTTAGTAGTCTTTCATTCATGATAGTAGAGATTGAAAGTTAATCTTTTGTTTATATAAAAATTCTATGCATAATTAGAGAGTAGTAGAATTTTATATCTAAATAAATTTTATGTGAAAAAAAAAGAGGGGAAGTCTTAAGTTATTGTCTAGTTAGAATACATTTATGAATTTTGATTTGAGGCTGCAAAAATTTAACCTACATTGCGATTGTAAAAGAATATATGCATTGCAAAATTTTATTTGAACATTATCTGAAGTTGGTGATAGAAAGTGATAATATTGTTAACGATAGCAAGTGTCTGTTGATGATTTATGTAAAGGGTATGACAGGTGTCTGCAATTTGATGCTAATAAAAATTTGAAGTTTCGTGCATGTTGGTCAACAATATACATTAAGTGACATTAATGATCAAGCTTGATAACAGAGGTTGGTTGTGTCCAACTATTGACTGTGATTTTCTTCGCAAGAGAGGAGATTGAATGGCCTAAAACTTCAACATATTATCTATTGGATTTCAATTTTTGGGCATCTCTCAAGTTATTTTATGACTAATGATTATTAAAGATGCCTTCTTTTTATGTTTGTGTGTATCACCTCCACTTCTCTTTCTCTCTCTCTCTCTCGCTCTCACTCACACACACAAACACACAAATGGATGGCCGTAGATTCTCATTTCCTTCTTTGGACTCAACATACATATTATGCTTGACCACCATCATTCTAATCTCTTCAGCTTATTTCTATTCTCTTTAGCTTTTTAGAATAGAGTTAGAATCTTGCAATTTAAAGGTTGCTTAGGAGTAAGAGAAGATACATCATAATATACATGCGCATTCCCTAGTAATTGCTTCATCGTACTATTAAAAATAATTTAACTTGAATCTCCTATTCTGAGCTTGCTTTCCATATGTTTCCTTTTTCTTACTTAGGAATGAAAATGTCACTTTAAATTATTTAATTTGCTAGCAACTACAAATAGTTTCTTCTTAGTATCTTTAAAATTAGAACAATTTACATTCAATGTCTTATCAAAAGCATGAATTATCTCACTTTAAAATTCTAGTTTCTTCTACTGTATTAATAAGGTCATAAATAATTATTTTTGGAGGAAGTTGACGAGAAATCAACACTATAATTGAATTTTAATTTTTTTTGCTTGAGTATATAAAATGAAATCTTCTTTTTAAGATTATTGAAATTGACTTCCTCAATAAATATGTTGAATTAAAAGTAGTTATTTAGTTAAGTAACATGCTTCTCTAGAAAAATGTTTCATATTTAATAAATCTTCAATTCATTTTTTAGACAAGAGCATACTATAAATAACATTAGTTTGGGAAAAATATTTACAATTATCTTTTATAATCAGCATTTATTAATATTTATAATTACTCATATAATTCTCATAAAATAATGGTATTCAAAACGTAACTTTCACTTCTCATAAAGAATACTCTTCTTCAGCTCATTCCATAAAGAATATAGGTCATACAAATGAACCACTTAAAATTCATATCTTTTTATTTTATTATGGTATTAATGTTCCCCCTCATTATGAAGTATCCCAAGTATACATCTTTCTAAAATTTTAAGCTTTTAAAACTCAAAAATCCTAGAATTTTATTTTCCAAATGAGAAATAACTCCCACCATTCATGCCAACAAAGCACTATCATCTCCATCTATTGAGAAAAGCAACAAATATAATCATAAGTACATTTTTGTTTTGGCTGGTGAAGAAATTTATGACTGTGGGTTTCAAAAATTCAATGCCCTAGCCCCTTTCAAAAAGAAAAAAAAAAAGCTAAAAATGAGAGTGAGGGAGTTTACCCCTATGATTAATTATCCCCCTCAATAACGATAGAGTTCTTTCGACTAAGGCTAGACATTAGGCACCAAGTATTCTGATTTAGCATATATAATAGCTACAAATTTTAAATATGCAATTTTGAAATGATCATCTTTAGCTTAGAGAAAATTGTGGGGGAATGATGACAAACCCGATCAAGTTCTCATGGTTGTATCATCTTGAGTTATCACGGTCTCTAGCCTACTTAGTCAGAGGAGCTATTCAACCTAGCCTAACAAACTGATTCTCATCAGAAGTCATGAGTTGCTTCATTTAAGGGAACCTTGTAGACTTGGGGTGGATGTTTGTCAAAGGGGGCTAATTTAAGTCAAATTTAGCTTGCAAATAACTTTATGCCCTATCAGATATATTATGATTCACAACTCAAATGGGCAGATCATTGAGGAACATATGAACCATAGCCATGACCCTTTTATAGGGGAGCTTACCAGTCAAGCTACTTGAAAATAAGTCGGTGGTCCAAATCTCTTCTTTTGTGGATTTTACTGCTCAAACCATAAATGTAGAAGACTCAGGCCATGTCCTTACACATACATAATTATTTGAGTTTGTATTTGGTAGTATAATTACTGATATTGACTCTTTGCGAGCTTGAGATAATCTTAAATTTGTTACCCTCAACAAATTATTTTGGAGGGTGAATGTGTTTTTTTAATATTTAAATGATTTTATTTCATTGAGTATTTTACAATTTATACTTCAAATCTTTATTTTACAAATAAACATGTCTATTAAGATGTGTGATATTAGAAAGATGTGTAATTGATATGCTCATCACCGGAAGCACTTTAAAATTTTATTTGAATCTTGTCGATTTTGCGCTTACAAAGGATCATATTCATAGTAAATATATCATCTGAGTTTTAGAAATAGACTTCCAGACTTAAGTTTGAAAATAGAACCCTCTGATTGAAATATTTTATCACATTGACTATCATCGAGGTTAGGTTATTACTCAAATTTCATTAAAAATAGTAGTCAAGTCAACTCCATTTCTCATAAGAAAGTGGATCAAACTGGGGGATCAATTTTGTCAGCTCTAGTCTCTAAGAAGGATAATTGAACTGGCCAACGTGAGACTTACAAGTTACAACCTGATCATATAGGCGAGGTGACCTGTTTATAAGTATGTGCAATTTAAGAGTTTTTAATTTGAATTTTAAAAAAGAAAATTTTTGTAAATTCTTAAAATGTGGCACATTTTTTTAGATAAATTTAATTTTATCTTAAGCACCCATATAATTTACCCACACACTTAAATTTAGAAAATTTAGGAGCACATGAGGGTTTAAGTCAA